ACACACCTACCATAATTCTCTGAGGCACGAACTTATTGCTTGGACATACACACCTATCATAATTCTCTGAGGCACGAACTTATTGCTTGGACATACACACCTATCATAATTCTCTGAGGCACGAACTTATTGCTTGGACACACACACCTATCATAATTCACTGAGGCATGAACTTATTGCTTGGACATACACACTTATCATAATTCTCTGAGGCATGAACTTATTGCTTATACATACACACCTATCTTCTTTTTACATTTGTGAATACCTTTGAAAATAACCAAATAAACTAGTAGATTTAGAGGTTTGTAAGTATCAGATTATTATTTCTAATAAGGTTTGTTTGATTGTTATGCAGGTGTGAAAAAGTAATTCCATACATATGAATCTGAAACTATCTTTTGTTTGAATTATCTTATGTCACATTCCATCTTAAGATAGGGAGTATTTCGACTTTCTCTGGAAATTAGTAAGCCAGCTAGTCTTCCATATTAGAAAAAATTCTAGTCTGATAAACCATAATTTTATAAAATCATTTAGTGAAACAAAACAAATCAATGCCAAAATGGACTACCAAACAACCTTTCTGCACTAATCAGCTATTTTTCAAGGATCATAGCTAGAAGAAGGAAAGAGTGTAGGCTAAGTGTACTTAAGATTTTCAAAAAGTTTTTGACCAAATGCCACACAGATGAAAATCACACTAGAAGGGGTTGAACTGAACTTGAAAAAAAGACTAGTTTACTGGAGTGTAAGGTGGTTGGATGGAGAAAGGCCAATAGTTGATTTTCATGGAGTCCAGTCAAAAGTGTACTTTTATTACTAGTAAAGTACCTCCCCACCCACCCCAGGGAACACTTTTTGGGCCTTTGCTGTTTCTTATTTATGTTATTGATCTTGATAGGGGTATAATTAGTAAATTTTGCTGATGACATTAATGCTCAGGTATTTTTAGCTGTATTAAACTTAAATACTATAGAATGACTTGTATCAATTGGTAAATTGGAAAAAGATTTGGCAAATGAGCTTTAATTACAGTTAGTGCAAGTTAATGCATCTGAGTAATCATAGTTTGGATCATACATTTAATACAGGTGGGAAGTAACAAGCATGACTGTAGTTCACTCTAAATAGATGAACATAAAAGTAAAAATTGTAATAATATGAACATACAAAAAACAAATATATAAAGCATATGCCTTATCAGTAGATAATAAAATATTAATAAATTTGTCAGAAGTAAAATAAAAACATGGAGATTAGAAGACACACACACACACCCATCCATGATTTATTTTAGCATTCTTATTCTTACATGGACTTTAAAAGCAATAATACATGAATTACCATAATATTGAAAATGTTACATTAAAAACTGTCAGTGCTACATTTAATTATTAATAGTTTATTATTGTTACTGGTTAAGAAATTAAGAAGTCTTGAACACAGCTAACCCTGATGTAGCACAATCTGTAATAGTAAAAGTAACTGCAATAGTCTGTACAATTTAAGATAATACACAAAATTTTCACTAAAGACAGTGATTGAAAATATCGACAGATAAAACGCAACTCACACAGACTATTCAAATAAACAATTTCACGTATAATAATTCTTTTACGATAATAATAATAGTTATTTGGTGAAAATATTCAATGTTAGTTTTATGATACAATTTTATCATAAAATTAAAACTTATTTGCCATGCTTATCCCAAACTTCAAACGGCAAATTCAATAACTTTCATAAGTACTTCTGAATTCCTTACAAATTAGGTAAAGTAAGAATACCTCGTAAAAAGAAATCACTTTTTATTTTATTCTAAAAGCTAACGAATCACAGTCGAAAGGGTAGGATATCTAACGAATCAGACAATTCATCAATGAAATCGAATATGCATATTACTGGTAGTAATGTTGAAGCAGCACAAGACCACTATCTAGCGAGTCTAACCAACGTTAGTCTTAGTAGCCAATAATATTAATAATATATATTTTAGTTGTAACTTGTAGTAACTAGAAGTAATAATATTATTAGTACTAATAGTAATACTGTGCCTATGGCAGTATGATGATTACTTAGTCTAAGCTAATTGAAAATGTTACTTACATTGAATTCTTTCGTACTTTTCAAAAACCACAACAATTTTTCCTCTATTTAAATAAAAGTCAATACCCAAAGTGATACAAAAAGGTACTTTCAAATGATAACATTACGACTCTACAAAGTATGAAATATTCTGTCGATTCAGCTCACATTTTGCGGGAGGAGAAACACCACCTAATGTCTTTTACGTAAAACTAATATATTATATTAAAAAGTTTAAATAATATTTGTTTTTTGAATTTCGCCCAAAGCTACACGAGGGCTATCTGCGCCAGCCGTCCCTAATTTCGCAATGTAAGACTAGAAGGAAGAGAGCTAGTCATCACCACCCACCGCCAACTCTTGGGCTACTCTTTTACCAACGAATAGTGGGATTGACCGTCACATTATAACGCCCCCACGACTGAAAGGGCGAGCATGTTTGGTGGGATGGGGATTCGAACCCGCGACCCTCAGATTGCGAGTCGAGCGCCTTGACCACCTGGCCATGCCGGGCCTCGTTCATTTGTAGTTAAGCACAAAGCTACACAATGGGCTATCTGTGCTCTGCCCACGATGGGTATAGAAACCCTGTTTCTGGTTGTATAAGTCCGCAGACAAGCCGCTGTGCCATTGGAGAGGCCTATGTTAGTTGGAAAGCTAGATAAACTATGTAAGTTTTAGGACATTCTATTTTATGTGTGTGGAAATATTTTGTGTTCTAAATTGAATAATTAAATTTAAATAATTCTGAAACCACATTTTTATAAGTAGTCATAATTTTCTGTTATAATCTGCAGTCGTTCTAGAAATAAAATAGGGTAATTTAGATGTATTTCTTTTTTTTTTTTTTGAGGTGGTTACAATGTAGGTAAAAATGACTGAGCCTGTATACATAGAGTTAATAAAACACACGTAAAATACTTTGTCTTTAACATAATTTTCCAAAAAACATTGAAACAATATGAATTTGAAGATGCTTTACTCAATTGTTTATATTAAATTCATCCCCTCATTTAACGGAAAATGTTGTAAAATATTTTATTGTTTGAAAGTCTGTGTTAAACTGTTTCACTTCAGATATTTATTCACACCAAAATGACGCAGAGCATGAATTATTATCATTGTTGGCCTAATTGTGTGATATTTTGTGAAATGAAACATACATCTATTATAAATAAAATATGGCATATCTATGTAAACTATTTTCATTCAAAAA